TGAAATTTTCTTTATTTTTCAAAAAATTTAATTAATTTAAAACATTTTTAACTCGAAATTTTTTAAATCAATCAATTGAATTGGACAAGTTCATTGCTTCCTTCACGAGGAAGCGAATTTTTTGCTTCACACAATGAGGAAGCATAATGTTTATGAAATAAACATAAAGGACCCCCTCCTTGTTGTTATAGTTATACGGATTTGAAAATGACAATGTTATCCTTAACGTCAAAACTTCAACCCCCTCTACTTTCTACAAATATTTTTTTAATGAGTTTATATTTTAGGGATTTATTACTATCATATAGGACAACAATTTACCAAAGTATGAAGCCAATCCCAGAACATTCACTTTTTGGGCTGGGGCGATTGAAAAAGAATCTCTCATATATATAAGCATAGAAGAGACCGGGGTTACTTGGCGCACTTTTTACTCTTTGTTGTGTAACTCACCCATTTTTGCTTTTTTTTTAAAGTTATTGTATAGAAAACTTGTTGTAACATTTCAGTTTTAATTTAAAAAAAAAGTTACAATATATTTAATACTTTTCTTTTTATACCACTTTATTTGAAGCTGTGCAAAGCGCGCCAAGCAACCCCGGCCGGGGGTGGCCTGGCACATTACCCGGGGTTGCGTGGCGCAGGAGTGAAATTAATTAAATTATGTGATTTAAGGGGGTAGTCTGGTGTTTAGGCCTTTCTTAGGAGCTTATTTCAGAATTTATTTTTATTATAAAATAAAATATAATCACACCAAATCTTTTTACATCGTTTTATTCTCCTTTTGAAGTGTTGAAAAAAATTATAATCGATTATTTTTTACTAGACATTGTTATTTATATTTAATATTAATGTTTATATCAAAAAAATGCTGACGCAGGTGATTTACAAAAATCTGTTCGACCGATTGCTCCAATTTTTTTTTAGCTTATTTTACACAAGTATGGCTGTGGCCCGTACTAGAATTACCCAATTTTAATGATAACTTTTTTTTATTTTTGACTTTTTGTCAATAAAATAGAGACAAGTTTTGTATCTTTTCGCTTATATAGTCCGCTATTTTGTTATTTATTAACAAAAATGTTTCATTCTAGTACGCGCCAGAGCCATGCTTGTGTAGAATAAGCTATAAAAAAATTGGAGCAATTGGTCGGATAGATTTTTGTAAATCATCTGCGCCAACATTTTTTTGTTATAAACATTAATATTAAATATAAATAACAAAATCTAGTAAAAAATAATCGATTATAATTTTTTTCAACACTTCATGATTAGAATAAAACGAAGTAAAAAGATTTGGTGTGATTATATTTTATTTTATAATAAAAAAAAAATCATGAAATAAGCTCCCAAAAAGGCATCGAAACACCAGACTACCCCCTTAAAGTTTAAAGATTATAAAACTTAATAAAATAATTCTTGTACTGTTATTTTACAATAAAATTATTTTAAAAATTAGAAAATTTCATTTAAATTATAAACATTTCTATGAAATCGTAAAATTATCAAAAATATATATATATTTTTTATGAATTACGCTGTAAATATTTAAAAACCCATTATTCGGTTAAATTTTTTAAAAAGGACTGTTATTGGTGCTTAATAATGTGTAAATTTCATGTAATCAACTTTCATTTAATCATTTTATTAATATTTAACGAAATTTTCAGATAACCGCGCCACCTAACCCCAAAAGTACTTTTGTAATATTTATTCATTTTTTTATAAAAACTGTTAATATAAATAAAAAAAATTTTTTAGTTTTGTAATAACAAATGTATAGAGCTGAAATTTTAAAATTTGAATCATTCCTATGTGATTTCCTCTAAAGTTTCTCTCACATTATCTTATGACAATTACCCATGTCAATTTCATATAAATTTCCTATGTAATTTCCTGTAAAAAACATAAAAATTCATAATAATAACCAAAATTCACTTTCTATACGAATTTATATGGAATCCTATGAAAATTCCTATAAAATTCAGAGATTTTATATAGTTTTATTTTTCTAGGAAATTTTATCGGGTTCTATATAGGATCCTACATGGGAATTTTCAATAGGGTACTAATTAATTTTTTTAATTTTAAAATAGATGAATATTTAGTTTGTGGATGCAAGTTAAAATATACAAGTGTTCATGTTTATATTAAAATATATATGTATATAAATTTTCACTATTAAAAATTTTTTAAATGTTATTAAATATAAATTTTATAAAAATGATATTTAATATTTTTAAAGAATTTAAACAGGGGATTAGCGCTCACGTGGGTGAAGTGCTCCTAGTATATATATATTAATATAATAATTATTATTATTATAATTAATTAATATATATATTTATAAAATCAGACTTTTGTCTATAGGGCATTTCCACGAGAACAATTGAATTTTCGTCCTTGCGACACGATGACTAAAACTGCTGTATCTTTTTTCAATTTTCTTATAAAATAAAAAAAAATTTTGGAAACGTTTCTATTTTCTTATCTTTTTGCATTCGAAAAAAAATTTTATTTTATAATAATTTCAAAAAAAGTTACAGACAAATTTAAGCATCGTGACGCACGGACAGAAAGTCCGCTTTTTCATGGAAATGCCCTGTATATTGTTCAGAATCTAAAAATTTGACATAGTTTGTCGTTATAAATAGCAAGGAGTTCAAAAATTGTCCATAAAAAATTTGTGTCTGTATGTATGTATGTCCGCAATATTTTGTTCCAGCATCACGTAAGTATGTTTTAAGGGGGCATCTTTCATTTCTTAATATATTATTTCTAAACTTTTTATACTTGGGTATTAAATGTTATTTACTCACATCTTAGCACAATTTTGCAAAAATTACAAGCTAAAACTGAGATATATCTATAAAACTTTTTTTAAGTGTTAAAAAATCGAAATAACAATAATTGTTAACAATTGCTTTCAAACTGAATTCAGGTGTATTTTTTAGATCTCTACCCAGACAGCACAAAAACTTGCAACAACCTTGCAGCATTATGAAAATTGCCTCAAGATTGCCTCAAGTAACAAAATGTCCCACATTAGTATGGTTGCAATGAGAGGTTGCTGCAAGTTGTCAAAAAATGTTGCCGCAATCTTCCAATGGAAGGTTTTTCGTGTAACATTAACTTAACATAAAATAATATAATGCAAATAAAAAAATTAATAAATAAACAATTTCAATTTTTTCCTTTTGTGATTTCAAGCACAAGTCTTTTGTAAGATTGCAGCAATCATATTGTAAGCTTGTGTTAAGCACATATGAACCTTTTATTGCAAGCTTACATTAAGCTTTCACTGCAAGGTTGGAACAATCTCACAGTTTTCCTAAAAGTATCAAATTGAGACCAAAAATTGCATCAAATCTTTGCAACGTTTTGATGCACATAAGTTATATCAAAAAGAGATCGTTTTGTGTATCATTTTTAGAAATGATACACGAAACGGTCTCATTTTTTGATGCAAAAAATTTAATCAATTTATATTAATCATGGCCGAATTGAATCGACTCAAAATTAAATTTCTAAAAATGATACACAAAACGATCTCTTTTTGATATAACTTATGTGCATCAAAACGTTGCAATAGAAAAAGATACAACCAAGTTTACTGTGCTGTCATTGCAAAATTGCGGCAACATTTTTTGGAAGCTTGCAGCAACTTTTCATTGCAAGCTTGCTAAAGTGGGACATTTTGTTACTTGAGGCAATCTTGTTGGAAGCTTGCCGCGCAAGCTTGGGAACTTGGCATTTTTATAATGCTGCAAGGTTGTTGCAAGTTTTTGTGCTATCTGGGTAATAAAGATTTTCACGTAAAAATAATGAGATTTCAAATTGCAAATTCAAAGTGTCTGGTTCAAAAATTTGAGACAATAATCCACAATATTGCAATAATTTGCATTCAAACTTGACGCAACGTTATTTTTAGGGCCTCTGATTAAGACTTTGTCGTGTCAATATAGTAAGATTAGAGATTACAAATTAAATTATTGAAATGAAATTTTTTTTCCTGTGTACGTAAAAGAGTAAGATTAGGGTAAGTGTACCAATTACAGCAAGTGCATCCATTACGGCGCGTTTATAAAAAATAACTATTATTACTATTATATTTAATGTAACTGTTGCAAAATGATTAAAAAAATTATTTTAATCTTTTTTTGAAACAATTACTTATTAAGATGCACATTTAAACAATTATTAATTTAATTATTTGACATTAAATTTTTTCCCTCGCCGTAATTGAAACAATTTTAAGATTTCCATTGACTTCAATTACGGCGGGCAAAGTATCTTCAAAATACACGTAATTTTGGTCACCGAAATTGATACAAACTGATACAAACGCGCCGTAATAGAAAATTACGGTATTAGTTTTAATTTCTCATATTTGTTTAAATAATTTATTTTTATAAAGTTAAAATTTTTTTTAATATCTAAATAACATAAGCCTTTAGTTTTATAAGTCTTCAATTAACTTTATACAATAGAATTGTCGAATTTTCTATTTCAAAGGTATTTTGACTCGAATCGCGCCGTAATTAGTACATTTACCCTAGTTTAAATTTTTTATTTGTTTCTCAAAAATTCTTTTAACTTTTTCATATTAATTTTTTTTTATTGTAATCTAATATTGTTTATGTGCTAAAGAAAAATTATTATTTATCATAAAATTTTACTCTTTTCAATCTATTTAAAAGGTTTGCGGATTAAAATATTTTCAATTTTTCTTCCTAAAATTAAATAAAATAATAAAATTCTGAAGGAAAATAAATTGAAAATTTCAATAATAATAAATAATAAAAAGAAAAAATGAAATTGAGGAAGATTATGACATGAAATTCTCTCAGCATAATTTTGATATTGAATATATACTGTCAATAATGATCTCCGGAGGGGATGCGATTTATTCTCAAAGGACATGGTCCGCATAAATTATGCAAATTGTGCCCACACTCAAGTATCACAGCAGAAGTAGCCAAAGGCGGAAACCTACTAACCTTAGATGTTCATGGCGACAATCTACAGAGTTGACACTTCCGGTTGATGCCAAACTGCTATCAGTACTTGCAATCCTCGTTTGCTTCTCCCTATCACGATCAGACACGTATCTTTGCAAATAATCCGCATCACTTGACGAATAAAAGTGTCGCCTGTGATGATGATAACTATCGTAGGATTCGTACTGGTAAGGTCCAACGTCTGTCATGAGGGTCATCATTTCACAAATAACTCGCACACTCAATATGTCACGCACTTTTTTATATTTAATGCCGTTGAATTTTTCTACCTTACCCCCAAGACGAATACATTTTTTTAGTTTTTGCTCTTTTTTATACTTTGGTATTTCAACTTTTCTTCTTTCCCTTTTCTATTTCTCTTTTTCAGATTCTTCACTTTTATTTCTCAACCTTTTAAACACAAATGCTATTGAACATATTCCTGTTTATTCAGCTATTTCTTGAATCAGGATTCAAAATCATGAAAACACATCACAAAAACTGATTGCTGCAGACAAGACACTTGTCACTCGCGGAACACAGGAAGTTAATTTAAAACTTTCAAGCTGGTAATACCGACAATAAATAAACAAACAACCCGAAATTTAGTAACTGATAAATAATTTATAAAGTCAGTGATAAATGTACAGTTTTATGATACTGATTTTAGAAAAAATTGAAAGCTTCTAAGTTGACAACTTATAAAAAAAGTAACTGATAAACTTAGGATTTATGTGAAATATGAAATTAATAAACTTTCAGTAACGTGAAAGAAAAATATTGTCGCGACGCGCGAAGATTGAAAAGATCTGAAATCCTTGATGCCGGAGATCAGAATGAAGACTTAGGCATCTTCTAGTAATGTCTCCGACGGTCCACATGGATCACTATAATGCGTAAGTGGTCCATATGTGTGTACTCTAAATAGTGTGTTTTATCGTTGTGATTGTGGTGCTACTCTTATGAGAACGGTATACTGCATATGTGTCAAGTCACACCCCAAAATAACTATTTTTAAACTGGACAACCAATGATGTGACGAGGAGAATTTTCCTTAAAGACAAAAGACCCGCCTCTTCGAATATCAAAGACGCATGATTTTTGGCAGCATCTCATTTTAGGGAGTGGTTTTGATCATCAATTAAAAGCTCTCCACTCGGAAATCTAGCGTGACCTCGTGATACTTCACTTCTGCCGGTGCGTGCATATTTAACGTCTTTCCGGAGATTTTAATGAGGGACCCATAATACCTTCCCAGTTGTCCTTTTGTCATTTTACACATATTGCAGTATGTTGCAAATCCGTCCAAAAATCACAAATTTTTTATTTCTTCTGTTTTTTACGTGTTTAGAGATGTATGAAACTAATGTAATCATGTCTGATGAAAAGAAAACAAATTTGTCATCAGAAAAATCTTGTAGGTTATGCAAATTCTATTTATTGTTTTTGTAATTTGATAAATACTGTCATTTGGGTGGTCCTTATTTTGTGATAGTTGGGATTTCTTAGGGGAAACTAAAGACAGTTAATGAAACAATTTTGAGAAAATCTCTTAAATTTTAAGTCTTATTTGCTTGGTGAGATGATTCAATTACAGCTATATATTTTCTACTTTTGAAAAGAAATCATTTTTTAGCTCCATATATATTACTCAATTAACTAGAATAATAATTTGAAAGTTGGTACAGTAGCGGGAATCCTTTTTGTTGCTCAATAATTTCTTGTAATCATTTTTATTATTTTTTTTTTATTATTTTCAGTACATAAGAACGTTAGAACAATAAAGGAAACAGTAAACTTCGTTTCAATTTGATTAATTAAAAAATGTTAAATTAGAAATTTTTAAAATTAATTTGTGATACATATGGGCGATTCCACGTGAGATTTACATATCACATTTTAAATTCGGTAAATATATTTTTTTTCGATCTTTATAGAAAAAAAAGTTTACGTATTTTTTTATTTTTTTATAACTACTCAAATTTTTGAGTTTTGAATTTTTCAAAATCTGATTTTTTCGAGTTTTTTTAAAATACACCTAATTTCAATGACATCTAACTCTAAAAGCATTGAATTTACGAATTATGACCAAGATACAAAAAAGAGTCTGTTTTTCATCAACTTTCAAAATTTTTTTTCGTTAACATATTTTGAAAGTCGATGAAGAACTGAAACTTTTTTGTATCTTGATCATAATTCCTAAATTCAATGTTTTTAGAGTTAGATGTCATTGAAATTAGGTGTATTTTAAAAAAACTCGAAAAAATCAGATTTTGAAAAATCCATAACTCGAAAATTTGAGCACTTAAAAAAATAAAAAAATACGTAAACCATTTTTTCTATTAAGATCGAAAAAAATATATTTACCGAATTTAAAATGTCATATGTAAATCTCACGTGGAATCGCCCATATATACTACCGTCGGGAATTATGCGACCTCTACTTTTATGATGACTATAAAACGGCATAAATCTTAAAAAATATTCAAACTAAAATTTTCCCTTTTTATTCTCTTAAAACCATAATAAAATTCTGAAATAAATGTCAAAGAGTTAATTTTTCAATTAGATATCTAAGAAAAAATCTAATGATTAATCCATTAGTGCCCATATCCACGCTGACAAGCAGATATCCAAAAAACAACTAATAGGATCACAGCATGAACCCTGATAATAATTTTGGATGTTAAAAATTTTATGAAAAAAGTTTTTTAAAGAATTAGTTGTAATCAAATAAAAAAATTAAAAAAATATAATATCTCCATTCGATTCTATGAAAAATTACTAAGCAAACATGTATCACTTGAATTATTTTTATTAAGTTACATTTGTTGTAAAAATATTATAAACAATTAAAATTAATTTATTCTCGTTTATTTGTTTATAACAAATTATTTTAAGGAAATTTTTAACGTCAACAATTATTTTTAGAGTTTTATGCTAGGATCCCAATAGTTATTTTTTCGATATCTACTTGTCTGTTGCTATGGGCTAGAACGAGTACACGGAAAGAAAGTTTGTAGCAATATTTGATATTATGGTGTTACTTTTTAGTATATTTGGTTACAATTGCGGAACATTTTGGCATGATAATGATTTTCGATACTATTTTTAAGTATGATTGAGATTAAAATAAGAATATTTAATATAGTTGGAAAGAAAATTTGATATAATATTTACGTAACCAAATATTTCAAATTTCGTAATTAGAATTGTATAAAATGATATAATTATTTCAGATTTTGAAAATTGAAAAAGAAATATCAAAGTTAACGAGATTCGACGAAATTTGCCGAAGTTGAACGTTCGGAATTGCCCGATCTTCACCGAGTGGTAACGAAGACTGACGAAGCACTTTAGACAAGCCCCTTTTTACCATTATCTTGATACAGACCTGAATTTCTTTTATATAATTAATTTCGAAGATTTTACAAAAAATCAGTAAAAAAAATTGTTCTTCAAAAAATAATAAAATATTTAATTATTTCCCAATAAATAATGATTTTTATTTATATTTTTAAACATGTTTTGATATAATTTCACCTTTCTCATAAGCGGTGAAAAACATGTCTGGTTAGTATATAAGAATGGTCACATCAGTTTTTCACATGAGCGTAAATTTGTATGTGAAGCGTTATTCTGCGAATGTAGTTAGTACAGGTTAGGAATAAAAATAAGCCAATCGATGTAAAACAATGCGGTGTATGTGTGTGTGTGCATTTAAAAGTTCATATCCTCGTCTATCCTCGAGATAAGAAAGAGATAAAACTTTGGCGTAGAATCTATTGGTGTTTCTGTTGTCATCTGTCACGACTGAACCACTTCGAATTTTTAGTATAGTTTTAACAAATTTCGAAATAATCTTTCCAAATTTTCCTATAAATTTAGTAAATAACAAAGTGCGCGTCGGTTTAACTTACTTCTGGTTTTTCGTATAAATTTATCAATTTACGAAATAATAATTTCAATTTTTGGAATATATTTACTAAAAAGACTATTGGTAAAAATATACCGATTTTCGTTATCAAACCCAAATGTTCCACGTTTAAAAAAGAGAATACTAAAATTTCCTATCAGATTTATCAAATATTGCTACTAAATTTCTTTCCGTGTAGGGGACGTAGGAGAAAAATGGGATAGCTAAGGTTTGAAGTTCAATTAAACTAACATTATCCGAGGTAATGTGGGGAAGAGGCACCTCGGATAAGCGAAAACTCGGATAACACAGAATAAATACCTAAAATTCAAAAATTTTTATAATTTTTTTTATGTATTTAATGTGCTACAAAGAAAATTAATCACAAATGAGTATAATTATTGTTATTGCATATCGGTTCCATCCGTTTTATCCGAAAGATTCCGTATTATCCGAACATGCACCTCGTTTTATGTAGGGTCAGTTGGGGTAAATGGGGACAAAACCGATATTTTTCTTAAAATACGTAAGTTTCTTCCTTTAAAAGGTAATATTTCCGGGTTTATGTTTTTTAAGTTATTATTTACATTCCCAGGATTAATTTTATGCAGCAGAAAAAAATTTAGATATGCTTTAAACGCATGAAACTGACTGTCCCCATTTACCCTACAATTTAGAAAATTTTATAAAATTTGGGGTAAATAGGGACAGAATAGTTTCTAAGAAAGGTTTAAGAAAAAAGTTTATTTAAGTATATTACTGTATTAAGGGATGAAAAAACTTGAAAATTTTTTTGTGATAATATAACAAGCTGTCCCATTTACCCCAAAAATTGAAAAACTCAGGGTAAATGGGGACAGCTTGTTATTATTAATCAAATTGACAAAAATGAAAAAATTCAAGTGAATTTCTGTTAAGGGAGTAAGAAAAAATATAAGGAATATAAGGAATAAGAAAAAATTTTTGTATGATTTTTAAGTCTGTTTTCTTTGAAATGCGAGACAAAATAGTGAAGTTCCGAAAGCGTCTTACCTCCGATCTTAATGAAACTTGGTATACTAACGTATTTTTGTTATTATCTCGTAAAAAATGTTGTATACATTTTTTACCAAAAGTCGTTATTTTTCGAGAAAATTCCAAAAAACCATAAAATAGCATGAAAAATGACGAAAAAAACAGTGCACATCATAACTAAAGGAAAAATCAAGACTTGTAAGTAAATAACCGCGTCATCAAATTGCGTAAACTGCTACTGTGGATCCCACCCACTTTGTCCGTAGAATTCTTTCGGCCATATCCGCCCCTCGTTTTTAAAATACGCATGAAAAGTACTTTACGCGGCCCAATACCGCGTACATCGTTTTCCGTGGACTGCTACTTATGATCCCATCTGACTTTTTTACATTTACTTTCATTGACATTCATTATTTGTATATGGTACACGTAATGTATATGTCGTAGGGAAATAGAAGAATCCGGGAATAAGTCTACTTCTTAGGCAGTAGGCTTACTGCTGGCAATTAGAGGAATTCACGTAGAAATCATTCACATTCATCTATTTGCGTAGGGAGTAAGCTTACTGCCCGATAAAGATTCGGCATTTAGACAACTTAAATCGCGTGTCCATCGCGTTATACTGCACTCCGAATCAATCTGCAGAATTTCATACATTTTGGAGTAATGATAGAATTTTTTTGACTTTTTTTCACTTCCATTAATCAAAATTGATTTCACTGCTTCATATTGCTGTTTACTCCACACGGATCTATTTCCTGTTTGAGCCTCCACTTTCGTTTTAAATATTTTTTCAAATTCACAGCGATTCACCGAATTAACTCCCATTATTAATAATTGTAATTAATTTATATAAAAAATAATAAAACGATAGAAATTAAAAATGAATAAAATCACTAGTTTGCTATAACGGTTCTAAGACGTTTGTAAATTATAAATACAAATTTTTCACTACCTATGAAGTCTTACACTATGAATATTAGACGAGGA